CACGTATTTACGGGGAGGAAGGGAAACGGTAACATTGTTTTTACAGGGTCTTTTTTTGGATGCACAAAACGAACCAGGTCCATTACGTGAAACAGGTTATGGCAACAAAAGCTGAACGAAAACCGCTTAAGAAACCCTGTTCTTTGATATTCCACATTCACAGATCCTGCGTTTCACAACATTCCGTGAAAATACGTTTCCTGTGCCCGACCCAGACACATCACACGGGTCACTGGACTGATCGACTTTGTCTCCCTGGACATCATCTACCCAACTATTTATTCCAGTATTTTACAGGCGTTTTGGCAGCACCCGGCTCATGTATCAAAAACATTCAGCTGGGCATTTCCACCTCTACACGAGGATTACACAGATCCCCCACGATCTATTGGAATCAGCCTGTTCTGTTCCCAAAAAGGTGACAAAACCCGATTTTTTTTTCTTTTCCCCTCAACCTCCACTCACGCATCACGAGCCTTTTGTCTCTTTCAGCAATTGTTACGCGCTTATTTTTTTAAGCAATTTCTCAGCAATTCAAATTCCCCCGATTTCACGTTATTTTTCGATCGCAGCCTTTAATTGTAGCTCTGCTTTTTTGCCCGCTCCGCCGCCGTTTATTTAAGGTGGCCCCGGTCGCGGCCCCGGGCCCGGGCGACCCCCGGCGCCCCCCCCAACCCCATCCTCCCTCCTCCCCCTCACAAAACGCCCACACTGGGGCACGACTGACGGGGGGGTGTCCCAGACAGGCGGGAGGCAACCCACCCTGCCCTCCCCCGTCAAAAACAACAACAACAAAAGGCTATTAAACCAATCCGGGCTTTGTTTATATCGCTGGAGCCTAAAGTTGGGAAAAAAAACCAACCAAACCCCCTCAATACTCCTGCGCATAGTTCTGCCAAATTCCCCTATTTTTATGTCCTGCAGGTAAAGGGGAGAGACACGGCAAATGGCCGCTCAGAGCTCCCATTTACAGGGTATTTATTGTCGTTTTGGCTGCTAAATGGGTTTGTCCCTGCAGGGACGAGACACCTCCCCCCCCAGCCCCGACACCCCATCTCCGCGCCCCCCAGCCGGGTCTGGGGGAACAAGGGGCAATGCCGGGGGCATCACTTGTAAAATGGATGGAAAGGAAAAGGGGTGCAGTCGGAAAGGTGGTGAAAAGGCTGCTCGTCGGCCACTCCCGACCCCCAGAAACATCATTTTTAAAGGGGAGAGGGCGTGCCAGGCTGCACTGACAGCTCCAGGGACGGGGCCGCCGGAGTATTTTATCATTTAAGAAAAAAACGATTTCTGTCTCGGCTAGAAATTGCTCTGAACTGGCAAAACATAAGTCGCCGCTTCAAGCTTTAACGTTTCAAGATAAAATGAAATGACACCTTTAATCAATGGATGGGACCATACAGGGTAGAAAATGAGCGCGGCTATTACCTGTTTTAATTGCATACTTCAGAGTTGTTCTGCAGTTCAATAAAATTTCTTCCAAGGTCTGTGGCTGGTCTGCCAGTTCCCAGTTATACTCCTGGAGCAGCTCATTTGGGTAATGGAAATCAATAACTTTTGTTGATCTATCAAAACTTTTCGCCACATACTGAAGTAAAATGTCCACAACATCTTGCAGGAAAGACATGGTCGTTATTTCTCCGTCACACGCCGGCAGGAGATCTGGGAACGGAGAAATGGAAAGTTAACTCCGTTTTACGACCGTATCCACCGAGTTCGGACAAAGGCTTCTCACCTTTATGGTCAGGAAATCTTCTCACTGCCTTCGGTAAAAACAGACTTTGTTTTCATTTACTAAGCAAATTGGTAAGGCTGTATTTTAAGGAATGTTCGGAGAGATAATAGTTAGGTTTTAATATCCTATCTAAAATAGCAAATTTTGCCCACGGTGTATTTCACACCAATTTTTAACGAGAGCAAGCGGGGAAACAAGAAAAAAAGGGAAAATGAATCTCGGGAAAAATAAAAGATTGGGAAACAAGCGCTACAAAAAGCGCCCCAAAACCTGTCATTTGCCTTGCAATAAAATTCCTTCGTTGTGACTCTCCCAACGCCAGTAACTTGTTGATAATTTAATGCCTTTTCGGAGGCGATGCCACACGGTCTCTCCGGACACAGCTTTTGTTGAAGTGCGGTGGCTCCGGCAGAGCCGAGCCGGAGTGGAAGCCCCTAAATTGGGGTGACCCGGGAGAGGGGAGAGAGGCCGGGGCACCAGGTCCCGCGGCGGGGCCGGGGGGGTCAGAGCCTGCCCCCGGTGCCCCCCGCCAACGGCAGCGTTTCCGCGGGGAGGGGGGGCCCGGGATCTCTTCGGGAGCGGAGACGCCACCTCCGAGGGCAGAAAACACGAAGCGCAAAAATACCTCGAATTAAAATAAACGGGTAAGACGGGGCTCTTTCTCCCTGCTCCCCTCAAACCTTAATTTCGCGGCAGTGACTTTAACGATAAGGTCGCTGCTGTCAGCGCCCCTCAAAAACAGTAACCCGCAGGCTCCGATTTTATTATTAAGGGGGTTTTTTTGTTTGTTTGTTTGGGGTTGGGGTTGTTTTGGCGGGTTTGGGAAACGCCGGTGAGCAGCCGGGGGCCGGAGGAGCGGGCCGGGGCTGGGGGCGCGGAGCTGCGCGGAGCCGCCGCGCACCGTCGGGAGCCAGCCGTCCTCTTCCCGACCGAATCGCGGGGGGGTTATTTTGGTTAGTTTTCGAGCTGCAGCGCGGCCCGGGGAGCGCCGTTACCTGTTGAGTGCAGAAAGGCGTAATTCACCTCCGCTTTTTGGCAGGCGCAGGGTTTTTTGTCGCAGGTACAGGCCGGCCGCGGCTCCGCTGCCCCCGGGGCTGCCCTGGCGCCGGTTTCCACGGGTTTCTCGGCATCTCCGTAGAGCAGGGCTTGACAGCGACACGGACACACGGCCTCAGCACCGAGACATCATCCCCCGTCCCGTCCCGTTCCGTCCCCCCCCACGCCCGCCCCCGGGGCAGGGCCCGCGGCCGCCCGTCAGCCTTCCGCGGGCGCGGAGCTTCGCCCGGGCGGGGGGCTGCCCTTACCGCAGAGTTTGTTTCCGATCCCTCCCGTGAACTTCTGGGCAACCTGGCACCAGGCTCTGGCTGCAAGAGAAAATGGAGCGGGGGGGGTCCGGGGGGAC